CTCTTAAAAATAGTAATGGACCATAAGAGATCAGTCCAGCAGCTGCTAGACTTCTCAAACAAGAATAAAATAAGACTGATTGGAGTCAATGAAGAAATGAGAGAGTGCAGATGACATAGAAAAAACCATTCACAAAAGTAATGGCAGAAAGCTTCCCAAATAGGGCAAAAGAATTTGACATACAGGTAAGTGAGGCTTATAGGATGCCAACTAGCTGTGATCAAAAAAATCTACACATAGGCATGTAATAGTTGTGATTCCAGAAACACAACAAAAGAACAAAATTCTACAAGCAGTTAAGAGAAAAGAAACAAATCACATACAAAAAGAAAGCCCATCAGAATTACAGCAGACTTCTCAACACAAACCTACAAGGCAAGAAGAGTGAGGAGTGACGTACTTTAGCCCTAAAGGAAAACAACTTCCAAGCCACACTGATGTGCCCTGCAAAACTATCTTTCAAAATTGATGGAGAAATAAGATATTTTCATAACAAAGAGCACCTTAGGAACTTCATGAATACTAAACCAGTATTTCAAAAAACTTTAAACAATATTCTAGGAAAAGACAATGAGGATCACAACCCCAGGAAGCCCAGCAGAATGAATCCATCGGGCGCAAGAAATTAAATGCAAAGGGGGAAAATACAACAAAAAGAAAAAGTCATGACAAGGATAAGTCAATACATATGAGTTATAACCATGAATATTAATGGTCTCAATTTTCCAATCACGACAAGGTTAAGTCAATACATATGAGTTATAACCATGAATATTTATGGTCTCAATTTGCCAATCAAAAGAAACAGACTGGCAGAATAGGTCAAGAAGCAAGATCCAACAATATGCTGCATACAAGAAACACATTTAATTAAAAAAGAAACAAATGGACTGAAAGTTAAAGGGTGGAAAACAATACTGCATTTGACAGGAACCAGAAAAAAAGTAGCTATCCTCTTTGCAGATCAAAGACTAGAAATTATACCATGCATATTATCTGATCATAGTGCAGTGAAAGTAGAAATCAACAATAAAACAAGTTATGCAAGTGCATGGCAACTAAACAATAGTCTTAACTAAACAGATTACAGAAGAAATCAAGGAAGAAATGAGTTTCTAGAACTAAATGGTAATGCCAGTACAACATACCAGAACTTATGGGACACAGTGAAAGCAATACTAAGAAGCTTGTAACTGAATGCCCACATCAAAAAATAGTGAGGCCAAACAACCTAATGATGTACCTCCAAACCCAAAGCTAGTACTAGGAAAGAGAGTGCAAAGATCAGAGCACATATGAATGCACTAAGAACTAAAAGTAAAAACCCCAAAAATCAATGTAAAAGTTCTTCAGAAGAATAAAATAAGCCTTTATCTAGTCCAACAACAACAACAACAACAAATTCAAAGATCCAAATCAATACAAGTAGAAATTTTAAAAAGGCGAAATCACACTAGACACTGCCAAAATTAAAAAGGTTTAACAACTGCTTTGCAATCCTATACACCAATAAATTGGAGAATCAAGAAGAAATTGATAGATTCCTAGCTACATGTGAATTACCAAAACTGAACCAAGAAGATTTAAAAACCCTGAATAATCCAATAACATGCAGTGAAATTGAAACAGTAATAAAAGTCTCTGCAACTAAGAAAAGCCCATGTTCAGATAGATTCACTATTGAATTCTACAAAATCTTCAGGGATGCTCTAACACCAATATTTTCAAGCTCCTAAAGGAAATGAAAGGGAAGGACTATTTCCAAAGTCATTCCTGGAAGCTTCCATTACTCTGATACCAAGACCAAACAAGAATCCAAACAAACTACAGACTGATCTCTTATGTGAATTTAGATTCAAAAATCTTCAACAAAATACTAGCAACTAGAATGCAGTGAATCATTAAAAATACCATATTGTCATGACCAAATAGGCTTCATCCCAAGGATGCCAGCATGGTTCAACCTGTACAAGGCAATAAATGTAATATATCACATAAACAGAAGCAAGGACAAAAATCACATGATCATCTCAATAGATGAAGAAAAAGCCTTTGACAAAATCCAACATCTTTTTATGATGAAAACACTGAGGGAAATAGGTGTAGATGGACTTTATCTCAATTTGATAAAAGTCATGTATGACAGACCTACTGCCAACATATTAAATAGGGAAACTGAAAGCTTTTCCTCTAAATTAGGAAGAAGACAAGGATGTCCACTAGTACCCCTCCTGTTCAACGTAATAGTTGAAACATTAGCAAGAGCAGTCAGGCAAGAGAAGAAATAACAGTTATGTACAGTAAAGCAAGAAGTCAGATTATCATTATTTTGCAGATAACACATCCTTTATGTAGAAGACCCCCCCAGATTGACAAAAGACTCTTAGAATGAACCACATTCCATAATGTAGCAGGATATAAAATTAAGACACAAAAATCAAGTGTTCCTGTACACTAATAACCCACTGAGAAATTAGGAAAAAATACTACTCAAAATAGCATAAAAAAATTAAATACTTGGGAATTAGCCTGAGGAATTGAAATACTACAATGAACACTATGGTATTAGAAAGGAAATCAAAGAGAATACTAGAGAATGGAAAGATATCCCCTGTTCCTGGATAGGCAGAACCACTGAAGTAAAATGACCGTACTTCCAAAATTGATGTACAAATTTTAATGCATCCTAATTAAAATACCAATGGTGTTCTCACAGAACTGGAGAAAAGAGACCTAAAATTCATATGAAACCAGAAGAGACCAAGAATAGCAAAAGCAATTCTGAATTTAAAAAAAAATGAGAAGTATCACAATCTTCAACTTGAAGTTAAATTACAAAGTTACATATATTAAAGACAGCATTGTATTGACACAAAAACCAACACAAGGACCAGTGGAACAGAACATTGGATGCAGAAACAAATTTAAGCAATTCAACTATTTGATTTTTTTTTTCTGGGGATCGAACTTGGGACCTTGCAAGGCAGTTGGTGACATCACTGAGCTAAATCCCCTGCCCTCAACTATTTGATTTTCTTTTTTTTTTGGTACTGTGGATTGAACCCAGGACCTTATGCTTTGTGAGGCAAGCAACAGAACCATCGAGCTAAATCCCAGCCCCCAACTATTTGATCTATGACAAAGGTGCCAGAAGCGAACAGTGGAAGGAAGATAACCTCTTTAATAAATGGTGCTGGGAAAACTGGTATCCACATGCAGAAGATTGAATCTGAATCCATGTGTCTCACCATGTACTGAACTAAGATTAAAATGGGTCAAATATATAAATGTTAAAACAGATATACTTGATGAAAGGTAAAATAGGCAACACTCGAAATCACAGATGTAGGCTAGGATCGTAACAAATTATAAGGTCTTTGTACACCCCTCTCCCCAAAAATGTGAAAAGATAACCTATAGAATGAGGAAAAACTAAATGACCCAATCAGAAAATAGGCGAGTGTAATGAATAGACTTTTCACACAACAACTGCAAATGACTAAAATACATGAAAAAAATGTTCAGCATCATTGGCCATTATAGAAGTACAAATTAAAGCAACACTGAAATTCCGTCTTACCCCAAAAAGAATAGTCATCAAGATACCAAATAATGACAAATTCTGGCAATGCTGCTGGGAGAAAGGAACCCTCCTACGTTGTTGGCAATGTAAGCTAGTGTAATCAATATGGAAATAAGTGTGGGAATTTGTCAGAAAGCTAAAAGTAGAAATTCCATTTGACCTAGCTATTCCCCTTCTAGGTATCTTCCTGAAAGAGTTAGACATTATATTATAGTGATACATGCATACACATGTTTATAGCAGCACAATTTATAATAGCTAAATCTCAAACAGCCTGTGTAACCATTAACACATAAATGGGTTATATAAAATGTGGTGTTTATATACAATAGAGTACAGTACTGTTCTGCCGTAAAGAAAGATAAACTCAAGTCATCTGTACAAAAATGGATGCACTTTGAGACCTTAATGTTAACTGAAATAAATCAGACAAACAAGCTTAAATATTACATAGTTTCTCTTATATGAGAAACCAAAAGTATAAAGAGCAAAATAAAAGAGTAGGGAGATAAATCTTTCTCAAATGGAAGTGGGATCAAGAGGTGGAGACAAGGTAGGGAAAAACGCTTGAAAGAAGGAATTAAGATATATTATGTGTGAATCAGCTCCAAACAAGGAATGTAAATATTATGTATTGCAAATAGGTACTAAAAAAAGTAATTTGTAGTAGAATGCCAGGAAAAAGGGAGAAAGAATGTTAGTGTAGTCATTCTTCATTTATAAATACTAAATTTGCACTCTGCTATGTTTCTGTATTTTTTCTGTAATCATTTTGGTCTTATTTTAGAAGATGCTTAAATTTAGTACATGTGGTAGTAATATCCCATAACTGAATTAAAGACACAGTTGTTGTATGAATATTTACAGCTATGATCTGACTGCTACTTCTCATTGAGCTGTGATTATAACATGCTATTGTTTTTAAGATAAATCTTGATTTTAGAGATGTTAAAAATACACTCGCACAATTGATATTTTAGGTATTATTCCAAGTATCTTGTGTGAAAGGCATTTAAAAGTTTAGCTTATTAAAAAAATAATCTATATGGCTTTAATTTTCGGGGAATTCATTAGTCATTTTCTTGGTCTTGGTAGTTTTCTTGTCCACCACTGTTTCTTCTGATTATTTCATTGCTTGTTAGCTCTTGCACCAAAAAGTAATGGTTCTGGTGAATAAGTAGATAATGTGAACTAAAGGCTAAAAGAAGCTTTGGCACACTATGTTATTTTTCATATTTACCTTATGGTGCCCTCTATTTGACAGGGATAGCTTTATCTATTTCAACCTAATGAAGATTTAAAACATTAATCCATTCCCTGACTTCTTTGTATAAGAAATTGTAAAACTATCCTAAACAGCTGCATTGCCTTTGAATGATACACACTTAATGCCATCTCTTTTCTCGTTCTTGTGCAGGTCACGGTTGGGCTGCCAAATCTGTTTAAACAAATCGATGGACAATATGACTGTTCGAGTACCTGAAGGAGTGGCTGATGCCAGACAATCTGTTGACATGAGCAAGAGTTCCTAAGTTACAATAAAAAATATTTTCACAAAAATTTACTTATTTTTTATAATTATTTATTAATGTACTTAAATGAGCAAATGGGTGAATGGATTTATTTTTAATTTAATTTTATTTTCTTGAGTTTATTGGTACTTTATACAGTACAGTTACACATATCATTGGGATCTTGTACTTTTACATGACAGGTCTTGGTTCTCAATTTTTCCCCATACCCCTGTCCTCCGTTCCCTAACTCTACCCTTCTTTATTTACAAAGACTTTGTTTCCGTATTTTTGTTTTCTCATATTTTTTATTTTACCTTATTTCCTTTCCTTACCCTTGCCATTTACTCTACACCTTTAGCCCTTTTCTTCCTATTTCACATTGTCAGTTATACAATTTGGATCTTATTTACAATTTTACTTTTTCACATCAGAAAAAACTTCAGTGTTTACACATGTGTGTCTTATTTATTTCACTTAAGAGCATGGCCTCCATATGCATCCATTTTCCTATGAATGACGAGTTTCTCATTCTTTATGGCTGAGTAGTACTCCATTTTATCTTATTTCCTCATTGAGTTTATTGGTACATTTTAGGTATACATTACAGTTACATTCGTCATTGGGCTCTTGTACCTTTACATGACAGGTCTTGGTTCCATTTTATAGACAAACCACATCTTTATCCAGTCTACAGTTGATGGACAGTTGGGCTGTTTCTAAGTTTTAGCTATTACAAACTATGCTGCTATAAACATGGGTGTGCAATTATCACTGATATGATTCTTTTAATTCTTTTGGAAAGATACCCAGCAGAGGGATAGCTGGATCAAATGGAACCTATAGTCCTAGTTCTTTGAGGTATCTCCATATTGATTTCCACAGTGGTTGCACCAGTCTGCACTTCCGCCAACAATGGGTTTCTTTCTCCCCATAGTCCTGCCAACATTTGTTATTGGTTGATTTCTTGATAGCAGCCATCCTTTTTTGTTTGTTTGTTTTTTGAGACAGGGTCTCACTATGTAATTGAGACTGACTTGGAACTCACTATATAGCCCAGGCTGGTCTAAACTCAACAATAATCTTCCTGCCTCGGGTTCCCAAGTGCTGGGATTACAGGCGTGTGCCACCACACCCAGCAATAACAGCCATTCTTTCTGGGGTGAGGTGGAATCTCAAGTGTTTTCATCTGCATCTCTTGAATGACCAGTGATGTGAATATTAGATTTTTTTTTTTTTGAGACAGGGTCTTACTATGTAGTTGAGACTGACTTGGAACTCAATATATAGCCCAGGCTGGTCTTGAACTCACAGTGATCCCTCTGCAGGGTTTCTTTCCACAAGAAAAGAATCATATCACAGTGATATGTGTGTACCCATGTTTATAGTGGCACAGTTTGTAATAGCTAAAACTTGGAAACAACACCACTGCCCTTCAACTTGAGACTGGATTAAAATGTGGTTTTTCTATTAAATGGAGTACTGCTCAGCCATAAAGAATGAAAAACTAGAGTCATTCAAAGGAAAATGGATTCATATGGAGGCCATACGCTTAAGGGAAATAAAACACATGTAAATATGGAATAGTTTGGTGTGAAAAACTGAAAGTGTAAATAAGATCCAAAATGTATGACTGACAATGTGAAACAGGAAGAAATGGGCTAAAGGTATAGGGGAAGTGGGAAGGGTAGGGGAAAGGAAATAAAGGACAAGAAAAAAAAATGGAAACAAACTCTTTAAATGGAGGGTGGAGTTGGGGAAGGGAGAGCAGTGGTATGGGGAAAAATGAGAAACAAGATCTGTAATGTAAAGGTACAAGATCCCAATGATTAATGTAACTACTGTATACTTAAAAAGTACCAATAAACTCAATGAAAAAAAATGTGGAGTCGATATGGTTTTGTCCTTGACTCTGTTAATATAGTGTATTACATTTGTTGATTTCCATATGTTGAACCATCCTTGCATCACTGGGATAAATCCAGCTTGGTCAGGGTGTATGATCTTTATGACCCTCTGTATTCTGTTTGCCAGTATCTTATTGAGGATTTTTGTATCTATGTTCGTTTAGGAGTTTGGCCTGTATATTTTTTTTTTTTTTTTTTTTTTTTAAAAACGCTTTTTTTTTTTTTTTTTTTTTTTTTTTTATGGGTGGGGAGTGTGTCTTTCCTTGGTTTTGGAATCAAGGTAACACTTGCTTCCAGGAATGAATTTGGAACTATTGCTTTCCTTTCAGTTTCACTGAAAAGTTCAAAGAGTAGAGGAAGAAGTTCTCTAAATGTCTTGTAAAATTCAGCAGTGTATCCATCAGGACCAGGGCTTTTTCTTCATTGGTAAATTTTAATTATGTTTTCAATTTCACTGATTGCAATTGAGTGTTCAGAATGCTTTTATCGTCTTTGTTCAATTTTGGTAATTTGTAAGTATGGAGAAATCTTCAGTGTTTTCCATTTTATTAGAGTACATGTTCTCAAAGTAGGTATTGGTGATCCTCTGGATTTCTGCTGGATCTGTCATGACTTCACCTTTTTTGTTCCTAATTGCATAGATCTGTGCCTTTTTTTCCTTTTTTTAGACCACTTGGAAAAGGGTTTATTGATTTTACTTATTCTTTCAAAAAATCAACTCTTTGATTCAGTGATTTTTTTTGTATCATTTTTTTTAGTTTCCATTGCATTGGTTTCCGCTCTGACCTTTATAATTTCTTCCCTTGTATGAGCTTTGGCTTTTTCTTGCTCTTCTTTTTCTACAAACCTAGGATTCATCATTAGGTTATTTGAACTCACTCTGTTTTCCTAGTGTGGGCATTCACTGCTATGAATTTTTCACGTAGAACATTCATGTGTCCCCTAGATTCCTGTAGTATTGGCATTATCATTTATTTATAAAAACTGACTAATTTCCTCTGTGACCCATTGATCAGGAGAGTGTTACTCAGTTTCCTTGTGTTTGTGAAGTTCTTGCAGTTTCTTTTGTTATTGATCTGCTTAATTGCACTATGGTCTGATACTATACATGGGATAACTTCGATTCCTTTGCATTTATTTAAACCTGTACTATGAGCTAGTATGTGGTTTAGTTTGGAGAATGTATATTCTGATTTTGTGGGGTGGAGCACTATAGATGTCTGTTAAATCCATATGTTCAAAAGCTTGGTTCAGTTGTAACATTTCTTTGTTGATTTTTTTGTCTAGATGATCTATTTGTGACAGTGGGGTATTTAGTTTCCCCGCTACAATTGTATTAGTGCTTATTTGGTTTTTTCATGTTCCTTAATACTTGTTTTATTTAGTTGGGGTTATTGATATTTGTTGCATATATATTTATGATCATCACCTCTTCATCTTAAATTGTTCCCTTTCCAAGGATGTAGTGGCCTTCTTTGTTTCTCTTAATCAGTTTTGGTTTGAAATTTACTTTGTCTGCAAATAAGGTAGTTACCCCTGCTTTTTTCTGGGCTCCTGTCACATGGAGAACTGTTTTCTATCCTTTCACTTTCAGTCTATGGGTTTCTTTTTGCACTAGGTGTGTTTCTTGTATATGACATATCGTTCAGTTTTGCTTCTTAATCCATTCTGCCATTCTGTTCCTCTTGATTGGTGAATTGAGGCCATTGACATTGTTATAACTGATATGTATTGACTTATCATGTCATGTTTAGACTGAAGTCAGAAAAATTTACAGTAACAAGATGTAAGTTGTAGTACAGACTTTCTGGTTATATGGCCCTAGGCAAGCCACTTTAGATCTCTGCCTCATATCAAACGGGTAATATTACTTTCAACATACTTTTAAATAGGCAGATATAAGATTATAATTTATATGTTAATTTATGTAAATTGAAAAATAATTAAATATTTAAGTTCAAAGACAACCTTATAAATAAATTTTTGAAGTTTTTGATTTAGTGAGAAGTGCAAGTCCAAATATAGGCATTATTAAGAAGTTTGATGTCTTTTCTGAGCTAGAGGAATAAACTAAAATTAGATATCTTGATTTTTTTTCTGTTCTGAGCAAAATAGTCTTTCTTTGTTATCTTTTGAGATAATGTTGACTTACAAATTGCTGCCTTGTAATAAAATAGAGATCTTATGAATTAGGTCCCTGTGTCTTGAGCCAGAGAAGAACATGAACTGATTTCTTTGTCACATAGCTCCGGAGGTAATGTTCTTTCTCTATAGTGTGTGCAGCCCCCATAGCAGTGTGCCAGAATCCCGAAATCAGAGAGTGTGCTTAGCATCACAGATTACTAGTTATATATGGAAAATACTTGTATACTTGTCTTTGTTATAAATAAATTTGTGAAAGAATAAGGGTATATAGTGTGCTCTTTGGAGTATACCAACTAACCTGGGTGAATTGTGAGGCACAGCAAATTAGAAAAAGAATATTACAAGATTGGGTTAGCTTCAAGTACTTTATTGTAGTTTGATCATTTATATAAATATTGGTCAAATAATACTTGACATACAACATTGTGTTAGGCCCATTAGAGGCACAGAGATGAGTGACAAGAAATGTCCTCAGAGACTCATGTGAAGACATATACACTGGTAGCGCATATTGCTTAAACCAAACTGAACAATTTTCCAGATAAGAATTTAAGCTAATGAGTATGTAAAAAATGACTAGGTAGAACTTGAAGTGCCTTATGTTTATACTTAATAACTATTGAATGCTTTTCAAAGTGTTACATGTTTTTATTTAAGGAAAATTTATTTTCTTAATGACCTCCAGTATTGTTTTCTTATACAGATCACTTAAACTCCTTTCTAGAGCTACAGTACTTTAATGATAAAATCTTCTAAAATTTAGAATTTAAAACCCTCTAAAATTTAGAGTCAAACCCTGCTAAAATTTAGAATGTAAATTATCTCAAGGCAGCCTGGAAAGGACATCTGGAACAAAAGTGGACCCTGAGTCCTCAACTTTGTGAGGCTGCTAGGAAGAAGTGGGTGAACTCCCCCACAGCCTTTCATTTTTAGTTGTTTTCATAAGTCTGATTTGTTTTCTCAACAAAAATGCAGAGTGGAGGAAAGTAAATATGTG